GGCGGCCGAGCGGAGCTCTTTCCTCGACACCCCTTCACCGCCGCCAGCTGCTCCCCCCGCGGCGCGCGCTCCGCCGGCCCGGGAATCCCCCGCGTCCCGGACCGCCCACCGAGTGGCTGCTGCCTTCGCCACAGCTCCTTCACCTCGCCTCCCGCCCCAACTTTCCCAGGCCCGGCACACGCGCGCGCGCGCGCGCACGCACACACACGCACACACACACACGCACACACACACACACACCCCACCCTCGATCCCAGCTCCACTTCCAGGTGTAGTTTGGAGATGACAGATGCCTGTAGACTTTCACCAAACAAGCGGTGGGGGCAGCAGACTACAACAGTTATTTAATTAAAAGGCATTTTTCCTCTCTTTCTCGCCCTGGCTCCCAGAATAGCTTTTGCACCCCTAGACACTGAGCACACGCCTGTCTCTCTCCAGGTTCCCAGTGGCCCGCGGACACCCATCTCCTTCCACGCACCTCCCTCGGCGTCTGCTCCCACCCTCCCGGGGCCCCCAGAGTCACATCGACACGCACACCTAGAAGCCGGCGGCGGGGAGCGTCGAGGGAGCGATGCAGCCGGACTGCATTGCACAGTCATCAAAGTTAAGTGTGTGTGTTTGGGGGTGAGTGTGTGCGCCCGGGGAGCCACGGGGTCACGGGCAGCGGAGCCTCCACTCTGCACCTTCCTCCTCGGGGTCATGGGACGCCTCTACTTGCGAATGCAGCCATTTTAGGGGAAGCAGTGGCTCGGGGCCGGGGGGAGTAGAAGGGGGCAGCACGTCGCGGGGGGCTCGCGGCTCCGCAGCCCCTCGGCGCAACTGGAGGGTGGCCAGGCTCCGGGCGCACAGGGGCGCGGCGCCTGCAGCGACTTGGGGAAGGTTGCGCTCGAGTTCCCTGGTTTTGTCTGGAGTTGTTCGGGGTAACGCGCCGACTCCTGCCTCTTTCTCGGGTTCCCGCTGGGCTGGGAGGTGGTGGTGGGGGGTGTCGATGGCAGATTGGACACGAGAGGGACGCAACAGACCCTGCCGACCAGAGAGCTAGCGCTGGTGGCCTGGGGGTGGGGGGGAGCGCCTCCTGGCGCCGGTTGGCACTGACCCAGACAGTGCGACCCACTTGGCCCCCCATCCTCCCACCCCCTCCGAGCCTCTGCCTCCCCGCCGAGTGCCAAGTGAGAGCGCGGCTGGGGGCACAGGGCGCGACGCCGCCCGACACCGAGCCACCCCTTACCTGGTTGGAAGAGGTTTCCCAGGAGGAGTCGTAGTTGTAAAAGAAGGAAGAGAAGAAGGTGTCTTCCGACAGCCCGCAGCCCGCCATGCTCTGGATGCAAATAAAATGAGGAAAGAAAGAAAAAAAAAAAAAAAGCACACACACAAAAGCAACCAAAATTTTTCAAAATCAAATGAAACCAATAATCGAAGAAGAAATTCTCTCGAAAATAAAAGGAGGGGGGAGGGAACGGCAGAGGGAACGGAAACTCCCTCTCCGGGCGAGAAGGGATGCTCGGGCTGCCGCCGCCGCCGCCGCCGCCTGCTCAAGACGGTACCTAGAGAGGTTCGTCCTGACTTGGGCAGCCGCCGCCGCCGCCTGTGCCGGCTGCGTGTGTGCGCGCGTGTGTGTGCGTGTGCGTGTGTGTGGTGTGTGCGCGCAGAGAGAGAGACCGCAGGGGAAGCGACAGGGCGAGAGAATGAGCGAGCCGGGATGGAGGGCGCAGAGGCAGAGCAGGCGGGCGAGCGTGTGCGCGCGGGGGTGCGTGCGTGTGTGTGTGTGCGCGCGTGTGGCTGAGTGTGCGTCTGTTTGGGGAGCTCACCGGAGAGCCGGGGCCGTCACGTGGGCGCGCTGACTCCGCCGGCTGCCGGGGACAGCCTGTACTACAGCCCCGGCCACTAAATCAGCCCGCGCCGCCCGACCTTTGCAGCCCCCGCGGCCTGCCCGCGGCTCTTCTATCCTTCAGCACCCGCCCAACAGGGCCGTGCGCGCCCCGGGACGGTAGGGGGCGCGGGTGCGGCGGCCGGCAGGTGGGTAGGTGGACAAGGGGCCGCCCGGAGCCGAAGAGGGGGAATGACAGATGCCCACAGAGACTCACAGATCTTCTGCTGCGACCTGCACCCGGCTGGCAAGCCTGGCTCCCACTCTCTCTGAAAATTTTTTGAATTCCTAAAATTGCTTTCCCGTGCAGAGCCGGCTCTTCCAGGCACAGGGAAATGATTTTCACACAGTTGATATGTCTCGATTTTCTTTCTTTCCCGGTGCCTCTCGCCCCCCTCACGCGCGCGCACACACACGCACACGCAAGCATACACACCCGTGGCCGCCTCCTTCCATCCCAAATGCAAACCCACTTCCTTTCGCCGGTTGCTATAGTTAAGCTAAGTCAGTGCTACACATCAAACTAGGCTAGGCCGAGAGAACTGGAAAGTGGATTTAGGGGACAATACTGCCCCAGCAGGAAGAAAGCCTAGATGACTTTTAATGGGCTTTTCCATCTCTCGTTTGGCATTCTGTTAATTTAACAGTTCAAACAAGAAGGATTTTGTAGCTTCTGCATTAAAACTCAAGCCCCTTGAGTCACAGTTCTTTAAATGGAGCTACTCTCCTAAGTCTATCATACGTTATGAAAAACTAAACGGATATAATTTTCTTTTTCCCCCCAAAGTGGTATTCTAGGACCAAACCTTTCTTTCCATCTTAATAATTGGTTAGCTGAAAGTTTTTTCTGCAAAAAGCCATTCTTTACTTGCTCCCCCCCTTACTCTTTATACAAGTATTTGTAGTAAGTAAATCACGAATAAAAACCAGCATATCCCTGAAAGAAGCTCTTAGAAATGTTTGAACCCTCCCTGGGAAACTTGGAACACCATCTTGTAGGCAGTTGATATTGTTTTACTTCTGATTCCTTTTTCCAAATGCTGTCCATTTTTACTCAAACCAGTTGTGTTTTTCCAAGCATTCACACTTCCTCTTGTAAATTCCCCACTTGAGGTCAAAATCATCTGTGAAATAAACATTTCCACAGCAACCCCAGTGATGTCACAAACATTGGCTCATGATTTCAGAGGGAAAATAAAGCAGGAGGAGAAGATGCTTTAGAAAGACAGCCCCTGTTTTCTTGCAAATAGCATCAGTTCTACCAGAAATTCAGAGAACAGATTTCTGGCTAAATACTTGTTTTCTGTTTCTGAGATTGATGTATTTTTCAAAGATATGTCAAATGATCTTTAGAAAAATAGGTCACCATCCTCTCTTCTGGATTCGTGAAGAATGGTGTTTCTAATCAGTGGTCCCTAACCACACTGGCCACACTAGATTTTAATAAGGGGAAAAGGGAATTTTTTTTTTTCTAAAAAGTGACGTTAGAATCTGAAAACACTGAGAGATGAAATTTAATGTGCTAACTTCAAGCTCAAATAATGCCGACTGACCCGGCTTCAAAAATAAAAGTTTTAATAAGTATTCAGCCCACAGAAATTCTATTCAGTTATCAAAATTAGCACGGATCTCACCAATACTAAATAAAGGGGCTTCTCTGCCATCGTTCCTTCTATTGTTTCCTGATTCCAAGGTGGGAAAAAGAAGGGAAGCATCCTTCATGCTGCCCCATTTCAATCCCCTCGCAGTCACACCCTATAAACACTCAACAGAAAGAAACTAAAAAACACAGAATTAGGCCCAATGTCGGGGGTTTCCTAGGCTGTCTCTTTAAGTAAAGTCTTTTAGACTATATTTATGAAGAGCATTATAAAAATTTATAATTTATAAAGTGCTTTTTTTGTGTATTAGCTCAAGTTAACATACTCTTCCTGCCACTATTCATAGCTTTCCGGATTTCAGCTCAAGTCCTACTTCCGCCCCAATGAAAGTTAACTCTGTCCCTTGACTCCCTCCCCTGTTTGTTGAATGAATGGATTTATTCCTCACGACAATCCTGCAAGAATGGGGACTCTTATCTCCATTTCACAGATATGGAAGTGGACTTGGAGATGCTAAATAACCTACTCAAGGTCATCCAGCTACAAAGTGGTATGAATTGAACCCCAACTTTGTGACCCCACCCACCTCCCTCATCCAGATCTGAGCCCACCATTGTTGTTGTTGTTGATGTTGGATACCGACGAGTCGATTCTGTGTCACAGCAATCCCATGTGACAGAGTAGAACTGCCCCATAGGGTTTTCTTGGCTGTAATCTTTAAGGGAGAAGATCACCACTGGGTAGGTTTGAACCAACCTTTCTGTTAGCAGCTGAGTGCTTAACCATTGTGCCACCAGGGTTCCTTGGGCCTACCATAGCACAGTTCTTTTATGACTACACCACCCCCAAAAATGCAATCAGTGGTTCCAAAACTCTAACCAAAGCCAAATCCACTGGCATTGAGTTGATTCTGACTCATAGCTCCATAGGGTTTCCAAGGCTAAATCTTTACAGAAGCAGACTGCCACATCTGTCTCCTGCAGAGCGGCTGGTGGGTTCAAACTGCTGACCTTACAGGTAGCAGTCAAGTGCTTAAACACTGCACCACCAGGGCTCCTTTCCAACACTAATTGCCCCAAACGGATGACAAAAGTCATACATTTGTGAGATGCATTAATTTAAAAATTGATTGCCTTTTCATTAGCTCATCTTCTCTTCACGAGGTCCTTTTAGGCAGCTGTTATTATTTTTGTTTTAAGGATGAGGAAACTGAGGCTCAGGGAAAGACCCCTGACTCTCCCACCTACTCAAGGCCAGTAAGTGGCAGAGCTGGGTCTTGAACCAAAGACTTCTGGCTCTTGACTTCTCTTTCCCTGAAAGTCTTTCCCATCACCAAACACAGAGGAAAACGAGTGCATGGATGGATTCACGAGCACAGGCATCCAGGGGGAGGTGAAAATATCTCCTCTGAGCAGCAAATAGGGGAACATTTGTATAAAGGCTGGCCTCCAGCCACAAACATTTGGCTCCCCTCAAATCTCCAGCTCCTTCCTTTTTAAACAAGAAAACCCCAGAGAGGGCCACCTGGATAGCTTCTGATAAAATGCCTCCCTCCCTGCCCAGCTTGCCCCTCTCCCTGGGCAGCCCCTGGTACTCCACAAGAATTCTGCCTTCCTCGGTAGGTTTATTCACCGGCACTGACACGGTAACATGGAGGATTGTTTGCTAGTTCTCAACAACATCAAAACAAGCCACCAGTCCTCCACCCCCACGGGGGCCCAGAGCAGATGGAGACGGCCCCTTGGGAAGCTGAAGGGAGCCTCAAGCTCATTGAGAAAAGATCGCGCAGCCACCTTGCCAACTCCTTGCTGCGCAGTGTTCAGAAGCCTGGAGATGGAAACCTAAACCAGGACGCTTTTTGATTTCCAAATTCCGTTTGCGGTTGGTTCTTTCAGGACAAACCCATCTTTCTTCTGCATGAATTCCTCTATCGTATTGCCAAGTCATGATTTGTCTCGCCGAAAATGGGTGATTTGATGAGCTGATATCATTCCATAGCGAGAAAAGCCATCTTTATTCATAAACACTTCCCCCCCCGCCCCAGAAATAAGTTTTGCATTAATTTCATATCAGAAATTGGTTAATAGTCCAGATGAGGCTGGGGTGTTTTCCTTGGGTATAAATGAGGTGCATTAACACGCTCAGACCACTAGGGTATCGTTTAGTGAATGGCTGATCAGCTCTGCAGATGCGAGAGGCCAGATTGTCTTGGATGTGGATAAAAATGATCATTTGGGCAAGAACTGCAGATGGGAAGCAGATGTAATGAACAGAGGAAGTAGATTTCATTCAGTCTCCTTCCTTTATTAAAACAAAGTCTGCTAATTTGTCTTTTTTTTTTTAAGCCCTCTGAATACACGTGCAAGTGTTATTTCCGGACAAAGTAAAAACCAATATTATTCCTGCCTTCAAGAAGTTTACAGTCTCAGTGAAAGTGTTTGGTCCACCCATTATTTTAGCGGCGAATTTTTCTTTGTAAAAAAAAAAAAAAATTTTTAATTTACATCAAAATTATAATTGCACTGGGGGAAAATTAAAAGTTAAGAAGGAGTGAGAAGAGGAAAAGTAGAGAGGAAAGAGGAATGGAATAACAAAAGAGGGAGATGTCCGTGAAAAGAGCAGGAAGACAAGGGCAGGGAGAAAGAGGCAGCAGTTAATGCAAAAAGAAACTAAGGCAGAAAATGAACTTCAAAATAACTATGACAATACTAATAGCAAGCATGTATTCAATGCTTATAATGCACAAGGCATGATATTAAGCACATGACACTCTTTCTTATCTCAGGCTCTCCAGAGACAAAGGTTGGAATGCGAATTGTTTATTTGGGAGGTGATCCTAGGGAGGAATCTCTGGAGGTGCATGCAGTTAAAGCGTTTTAGCTGCTAACCACAAGATGGGAGGTTTGAGTCCATCCAGAGGCACCTTGGAAGAAAGGCCTGGTGATATACTTCCAAAAATTCAACCACTGAAAACCTTACGGAGCACAGTTCTACTCTGACACACATGGGGTCGCCATGAGTCAGAGTAGATTAGATGGCAACTGGTTAATTGGTTAATTCTAGGAAGCAGGGTGGGAGAGTAGGAGAAGTAAGACAAAGCAGGAAGATGTAGAGGGAGCAACTGTGGGCATCTAGA